ATATATAAATTCTGAACATATATCAAGAAAATATATATAAAATAAAGTGAAAAGATTTTGTGCAAAGAGATTTAAGTATCCCTACGACAGGTATTGCGATAGTAAGAAATTGTACAGATTAACAACCCACGAGAAAAATAAGAGGTACATAAAGGATCAAGACAAATGAATCTCGACAGAAAATCTTGCCCAACGGAGCGAAAAAGCGTCACATTGGTAAGACGAGGTGTGCGATAAAAATAAAATGATCGATGACGGTATAAAATTGCTGAGACACATGAGCTACAATTTCTGCAAATCGCAATATAAAATGAATGTGAAAATCTCCAGTCTTACGAGGAACATCCGAGATGCACGGACGTGTTCGAATTAAAGTTTCGATGCAAAATTCAGGTAATTAGTATCTTAGAAAGAGAGATGTAACAGTTTGCAGAGAATTTAATACCGATAAAAAATACATAGAGTTGGATATACTTATATATACAGCAAACAGGATATAACATTTTCTATTCATAGATTTCTCGGATCGATGAAAATTAAGGACAAACAATATTTCGAACGAAGTTAACATTGCATCCATCAACACTGTGTATCGGACTCTCATCAAACTTGATTAAAAAACGTAATATAATTTAATAAATTTATATGAACGAATTTTACATTTTACTCTTCTACAAAAGTAGTTCATGTAAATTACCTTTATCGATCCTGAAAAATTATTGATAGAATATGCTGTCATTCTGTATATGCTGCGATAAGAAATCGAAAACGCGCTGTCGCAAAAAGAAAAGCTATTCTAATCCCCCGAGGCATAGTTTTACCAAAGCTTTTACGAAAGCCAAACAATTTCGTATTTTCTGGTCAAAAGATCTACCGTAGTGTTCAAACGAGGATCGCAAAAAGGTGATTTCGAAATAACGGCAAAAAAAATTATCCGTCTCGGCCCGGAAGGGTATAATCTCTTTACAAAAAATATACAGCGGATGTGTGTTGCAGCGAGTTTAGAAATTAACTGTAGATATCGTGAGACACTGTCGGTAGCACGAAACAAAATATTGCGTTCTCTATTCAGGTACGTGTTACGTTCGGTATAGTAATTGTGAGCTTGTAACTTAATTAAAAGATCGTGTAAGACTATACGCTTTCAGATGTTATCGCAGTAATGTAAATAAAAGAATTTCTGATGGATATCCGTGTATAGAGAATTAGTGATTGATATAATTAATAAGTATGCAACGGATAATGATTTCTCGGATAACCGGATAATTCATTTATTGCTACCGGATAAGCCGGATACTTGAATTTTATGCATAAAGAGATTGAAAAATTTTAAATCTAATTGTTTTTTTACAATAAGAAAAAGGATTTTTTAATATTAATCATTATAAGTATAGTATGCTATAAAAATTTATAATAACTAATATTTATTAAACAATTTTTCAATATTCTATTAGTGATTCTTAATAAAGTTGATTATATTCAAAATAAATTTAAGAAAAACCTATTCTATAAATTTTATGAAGACGACATCTGTATTAAATCTATTTAATTAAAGCTAAATATCTTATGAGATAATAGTAAAATTAAATGCTTTGAAAAAATATTGAACAAAGTATTACTGGTCAAATAGCCGGATTGTAAAAAAGTCAGATAGATTGGATACCCGTTGCATCCCTAATAATTAATATTACGTTGCGTTCTATCCCTAATGCGTTAATTAATTATTTTCAGAAGAACCTATTAAGAATTAATTATTTTCAGAGAAAAAATGGGTACAAATTTCCTCCACCATTACTTTTTCCCCTGGACTTCAATTAATTTCGTACCTCGCATTGTTTAATTATTTAATTTTATTTCAACTCATTTTATCAAGATAATTTAATTAGTGATATCGCATCATTACTATTTTTTTCGACGGCAATTGAAAGAGCCTTCATAAATTCAGATCAACGACAAGATAACGATGTGACCAGCCAGGACTTTTACGGAATCTTATTATGATCAGCAGGTAATGGAAATTGCTTTTACATTATTAGACTTAAAAAGTACGGATTGCTAGGACGATAATTGCGAATGCATGATGAATGGACGAATGATGAAGTAATACAACTTAGGGATTAAATACAAGAACACGTTGATATTATCGTTAACGGGAGTGTGATAATTTTCATATAAACTGATATCGCTATCTGCCAAAATAAATAATTAATATTGATATGTGTACAACCGTCTTCCTTCTCGAGATTGCTATCGCCAAATCCATCGTGCAACATGGATGAAGAAATGACTTTTGAATTTTTTTACATTAACCGGTGATGGCGAATCTATTGGATCCACTCAATTATAAATTTCTTTATTAAAAATGTCAGACAATTTAATTTTTTGATGTTTCATTTACACAAATTTAGATTATTCTTGTTAAAGTATATTTAGCATCCATTCGTTTTTATATAAATTATGTCATTTTTATTTCTTGAAATTAATTGGTGTTTTTTAATTAACATAAATTAAATGGATCTTACAGATTCAGCGCAATAAAGGTGTTACAGATTTTGGTGTTAGTTCCGAAAGATTAGCTATAACAAATTTTTTTAAATCTAAATTCTTTCTTACAAGAGACCTGTAACTATCCGAAACCGATTTGAAATATGTTGTTGTCTTCTTGAAATATGTTATTAAATACAAAAATCTAGGAGAGATACGTATTTTTTTATACAGGCTCAAATCTTATATTTAAGGAGTGAAACAACCCTTTAGAAAGTTAACGCTTATATTTGATAGATGATTCGGTGAAACTTATATATATATATATATATATATATATATATAGCTATATTTCGATTTTTCAAAAATCTAATATTTTGAAAATATCTCTATCTCTGTTAAGTTTTCAGAGATCAATTAACTCCTTAAATTTCAAATTGGCCGATATAAAAAGTACTGTGTCTCTTAGAATTTGTGTTCAACACATTTTAAGGAGGATCGAATCGGTTACGGATGGTTATGACAGGCCCCTTGTTAGGTAAAGTTCACTTGAAATTGACGAAGGAACAAGATTCTGCTGTCCGTGCAGCACTTAACTCGTCGGAACTCTAGTCTTCTGCAAGTCATGGAGAACTCATTCATAGACGATCGTTTGTCAATATCGAGACCGATGTATTTATATTATTTACATGCAGTATCTAATGGTAGCGCGGGACATAAAGACCAGAAACCTGGATAAACTAAAAAATGCATTTGTATAGAGTCGTCGAAGACGGCGACGATGAACGTCAGGAGCGTCCACACGATGACGTACTGCGACAAGTGCGGCGTCACGTTCACGACGCAGCACGCGCTTCTGCGGCATATTACATCCAAGCACGAGGACTCGCCGAATTCCGCGGTCTACTGCAACATCTGCCAGCGTGTCTTTAAGACCAAATGGAGTCGGGCAACGCACAACAGCAGATACCACAGAAACTGACCAAAAGCTCGTCTAATGTCACAACCCCAACATGTAGTATTAGCGAATTGGCGTGGCAATTCCATTATTGATTAATAAAGTGCTTTGTACCTTATACCTATTTAGCTTTTTCCCGAATTATTATCATTATATAGAAAATTTATGATCAGCATTTTATTGTATTGTTATTATTATAATTACTTCGATTTAAATAAATTGTTTAAATCTTGATTTAAGAAAAAAATATCGAAAAACGAGAGAGCATTTATCTTTACGCGAATCAACAATTGTTGTAATTTATTCTTCTCGTTCTTTATGTCTTTTTAAGAATATTTTTAAGAAATCGTTTGTTTATAATTCATATGTTTGTAATAAGTTATATAATAATTATTTGTAAAGCTTTTGAAATCGAATTAAAGAAATTTTGTTAATTTATTTATTTTTGGCCCATTTTTAGGTTATAAATTCTATTTGTAATATAGATGAAAAAAAAGAAGTGATACGTACTTGGAATAAAAATATGATGCTCAGAATTTTAATTTTAATTATTTTTAATTATAATTTAATTAATAATTATTTTTAGAAATATGTCTATAATCTTAATTTGTATTTTTTCCATCACATTAGCTTGCTATATTATAATTTTTCGATAACTTTTAAGATTTCTGCGAACCAAGCTCCAAAATTAAAAATTCTTATAGTAATTTCTAGAGTCGCGAATTTTTTAAATTATAGTATCATCAATTTGTTGATTATATTTCCTGAATGTCGATTTAGCAAGGCACTCAAACATTGTATAGTTTAAGCTACTGAAGTATATTGAATAAATAAATTTCAAATCAAAAGTGTGATCGTCAAAGATTTAAATAGAAAACAATTGCAGTCGTGGCTAGAGAGCAACGTTGGTAATTGATACACAATATTTAATGCATTGAATAAATGACTATTTGCAGCATTTAATGTTGTCCTTAATTTAATGCTGTGAATTCGAGTCGGGGCTCGTTCTTTTCTTTACCATTTATTAATAACATGTAAAATAAACAAATTATTTTCTTAAAAAGTATTATAGATAAAGTATTATAGTTTTTTATGTATTTTCTTTTCAGAAAAAAAAATACAAATCTTTCAGTATTATAATTTGAGACTTCTTAGGTATATATACTTGCTATGATTTGTATTTATCATTAAAGTCATATATTAAATAAATAACTGTGTAATTGATTACATAGTTTGGACAATATGACGCTTTCTTTCCCCAAATATAAAATTTTTTTTAATGCTGCATTCCACATAAATAATTAAAAATAAAATCTTACGATATGTTATAACATATAACGCAAGAATAATAGAAAGATAACACATGTGTGTTTCCATCTACATAAGAAATTATTTTAAATAAAAATATGTAGTGGTAGATTCATATGATTAAATTACTTTATTAAATATTTATTTAGGTTGTAAAGATCACATGACTATGTTATCCTATTTAAAATAACATAGAGTTTCAAGTCCCTCTGGACCGCGCATACGTGATGATAAACATTTTGTTTTTTTGTTTTTTTTCCTTTCTCTGGCTCTCACAATTCCTTAATATTCTCTCGCTGTCGTTTATAAATGAGGAATGTTATATCTACAGCCTCCTCTCAACGCAAGTACCAAATGCAGCACCGAACCGCCCTGGACTTTGTAATCTTGTGCAGTCTTCTCGTCGTTCCTGTGAAATAAAAATATAACTTTCCTCGCGTTTTCAATATTTTATACTTGTATAATTAATTGATTACACACATCTCAATAATTAAAATTATATTCCATAAATAAAATTAGTCTTCTCTTATATAAAATCAATTCATCTTTCCAATTTCGAATTTTCTTTATACCTGCTTTGGAAGAGAATTGATTAGTCATATAAGATTTTTTATATGTAATTATTTATTTCTGTTTTCATTTAACAAAAATTCAGTCTTAAACATAAAGTATGCGTCGAAAGTAATGAACATGTTATTGTTAAAGGAACGCAAATTCCAGAGGAATGGAACATAACGCATCACCACCTGGAATATATACCTTCGACCGCTAGGAAGATCTGTGCCATGAGAAGGTGCAAAATGTGCACATCAAAGGGATTTAGGAAAGAGACACGTTACTATTGCGCTACTTGTAATGTCGGATTATGTGTAACGCCATGTTTCAAAGAATTTCACATAAACGTGCGTAAAAATTAGGATATTAAAATTGCACTTATAAGAGAGATTCACTAACTGTTAGTTGCTGATCCCGCAAATGATACATCGTTGAAAAGCACGCACCGAGGTAATCATAGATATATGAGTCATTGCCTTCCGAACAAAACCTGATATGATATATAGAAGCTGCTGTCAAAGTCTCATTACAAATACTTTAAAGCATTTAATTGATCAATTAGAAGAAAGAATCGTACAAACTGATCAATCAAAAAACGCTTTAAAGCATTTGTAGCATTACATTGACTCTATTCAGAATGTCAACATTGCAAATGTACGGTGACTAAGTATTAATGTATATAGGATTTTCCCAAGGTAGTAATTATGTCTGGGACTCATTTCTATGTTGAAAAACATTCACATGAACCTCAGACATGATAGTGATTATTATGTTTGGTAATGTAAATGTTTCTTAACATAAAAATGAGCTTCAGACATAACTACTACCTTGTAAGAGAATTCCAAATATATCAATATCTAGTTACTTTGTCGTTATAGATGTTGCATACTCTGTGTATCATACTGTAATTCATTCAAGAGACAATAATCCATATATCTGCTATCGTCTCGATACATGCTTTATAATGATATTCATTAGCTTGGATCTGCGACTAGCAGTAATGGACCTTCCTTGTTAATATAATAGTTCTAGAATCACAAATTCAATTCTTCATCGATCACAAATTAAAGAAATTTTGTCTCATGCAAATACGTCATAAAATCATGATAATACTTATACGTACATCTGTTTGCCAGAGAATATTAATCGCTGCTGTTGAGGTGGTATTCCCTCCTTCTCTTCCACTCTTTCTTTAATTCTCTCTACCTTGTCTGTTGGTTCTATATCTATTTCGATCTAAAGAAATTGTACATTAATATTGAACTAAAGACTAATACATAATAAATGTATTTTTGTTTTTACTTATTGTTAGATACAACTTATGCTATTGTTAGCTATTACTTATGTTCGTTTCCATCAATGTAAATTAACTTTAATTAATCTCAGTTCAATTTAGTCATCTTTTTCTAAATTTAAGAATTAGAAAAAGATGATAAGTTAAATCAAGATTATATTGAATTAATAAATAAGACATTCATATGAAAAATAACACATTATATTCAAGAAATAGTAGCTCAGAGAATGAGATATCATTCTTGATTCAACTATAATAACTTTCTTTTTGACTGATATAAATGAAAGTCGTAACAGAGTGTCAAAAGGTCAAGTTTAATTTTTTCTGCGTAACATAGCTTTACAACTTTCCGAAAATTAAATTAAAAAATCTTTAAGATACAACAACAATTAACAGTTCCAAAATGGACTGAGGTATCAGATCATTTTTTTATTGTAACCGAGCAAAGTCGATCTATCGTTGGTAAAAAGGATCATGAGGCTTTTGTATTTCGATCATATACGTCATTTGTAAAACCGTATGATTTTAAGATACTTGCCTCCTTCCCTGTAAGAGTCTGAAATGAAAATTAATTAAAATAAGTTACGAGCCGGCGTGAATTTCGTGGTGGACAAGTCGTGGACCAATATAATTACCTTCACTTTTATCAACATCTTTCAATTATTAACGGCTACGCTAAATTTTCACGGTAGTATTACCGGTTCACACTCGTCGATGCTACAGAAAAAATGAACAGGCGAAAAATCTATGAATCGCAAAATACTGTCACTTTACTGCACGACTCTAACCTAATTCGTCGACTTGCGTCGTGTCGCCGTCTGCTGGCGACGAACGTTATTACGGAATAAAACTACGTTTTTATATAGCTTTTTACTTAGGAAATTAAATTATATTCTATTCACATATTTTGTACATTTAAGAATATCTATAAAATATTGTTGCAGATTACATCCCTTCAATCTTACTTTAAACATAATCCTGGCAAAAATTTTTTCAGAATTTTTTATAATTGTCCAGAAAATTTCATTAATTTTTATATAATTTTTAAATGTAAATTTGAGAATTCTTTAAAATTCCTGAACAATTTTATAATTTTTAAGAAAATTTCTTAAATTTTTTAATATAAATTAGAACTTTTCAAAAGTGCTAAGAAATCTGCATTTTTTCTGAAATTCTTAAATATTCTAAAATTTCTCATTTTATAATTTCTGAAAACTTATAAACTCTGAAAAAGTTTAAGGTATTTTTTCAAACATTATAGAATGAGAAATTTTTTTAAATTTTATAATTCAAACATATATGAAGTTTTAAGAACAAAAGAATGGAGACTTTCTCAATAAGTATTTCTGAAGTACACCAATTCACATAAAAATTCTGAGAAAAATTTTCACCAGGCAATTAGAACTTAATCTATTAGACATACATCATAATTAAGTAAATATCACATTTTGTACTTTATAAAAAGTTGTTTTTATATATTGAATACGATTTAACGTAATAATTATAGTATATCACACAATAAGTTATTAAAAAAAGCATAATTCGCAAAAAAGTTCTTTATGTTTCTTACAGGTATATTTAACGTAATTATATCGTTGAGAAATTGTTGATTAATAACGATAAAATTTCTAACGATCTGTCACAATTTTCAGTTTCTCTTCTTGAGCCAACAGTTGATTCTTTATCTTTTGTAATAGTTCCTTCTTCACAGAGTCTGGCACAAGCGTGCGAGCTCTGCTAGTTACTGTGGACAATAGCGTGTCATAAGAGATATCGTGGCCATGCTCTTTTATTATTTCCTTTGAGATCAGTTTTACTTGATCCCGCCATCCACACTCGACTAGTCTGCGCCTCAACAATTCTTTCAGTCTGAAAATAAATTTCACGGGCATGCAATATTTTGTTTTAGATAAGAGATAATTAGATTTATTTGGAAATTTTTTCTAGTAATTAAAATCCTGGCTATCACAAAGTATAATTCGCAATTTACCTTAAGAAAGTTATTTGAAGTTAACAAATGTTAATGTAAATATACAAAATTTTGATAAGTTATATTTACCCATCACGATCGCCAACCATGACCAATCTCTGATGTGCTGTCTTCATTAATAATCTTATCTAAGCGAAATTCAACTTAGAAAACTTATTTTATTGTTCTGCTGTTAACCTTTCAAGTCAAATAATTCAACAACAACAAAGCAGTTGTTTTGATGAGCATTTTAAGCCGGTATTCCAACTTGGATTTCGTTCAGGATGTTAATTGGTTATAATATAGGGAATTTCTAGGATTTTTCAAGTTCATGCTCTGCTACCACCATAATAGGTGCTTTCCAATTGCTTAACACGTCTTAACACAAACGTATACAGGAATGCACAAAGTGTAACGTTGTGCAAGATTCAATTGAAACAGAATGTGTGCGCTATGCACGGTTAAGATCCGTTTCGGATGGAGTTAGATTAAATTAAATGTAGCTTTTCCGCCTATATTAAACAAAAAAAAGTAAAAGTGCCGGCCACTCAACGTCTTCCAACCTCATTTATAGCCGGCGCAGTTAGTAACATGTAATTGTCACTAGAAAACACAAGCTTACACAATCCTCGACTGAGTACGGACGTGTAGTGTTGTGTCGACGATAATGGACAATTGGAACGCAACTTGTGTCGCCGTGTGCACGAAAGTGTCTAGGAATATTGCATTTGGAAAGCACCCAATGTAAGATTCACACTGCGTACAATATTCGATATACGCAGTAGTGCTGGATTCACACTGCATCCGATTTGCGTCGTACGACGCTCTGCAACCAATCAGAAAACAGGATTCCGATACGAAGGAAAATCCATCGGAATGCAGGGTGAATCCAGCATATGAATCATGATGCGAATACGTAATTTGATTGGACATACTTTTGGCTGATATTTGCAGGTCGGTATTCATAAGTCAATTTATGCATTTAAAACTCTTAAGTTTTAGGCCGTGCGCACAATAGAAGGAATAAGGAATTAGGAATAAAGATTAAACGATTTTAACCTATCAGAAATCGGATACATCGGAATACACGATTTCTGATAGGTTGAAATTGTTTATTCTTAATTCCTTATTCCTTCTATTATGCGCAGAGCCTTAGGTTAATATTTTATGTGTCATACGGACAAGGCTTTTCAAGCCTTTTGATTGGCTGCAGGACAGAGATCCAAGAATCTTTTTATTCTGTAACCAATCAATCACACGCTTTAAAAGTTTATCATATGACACATGAATAGACTGCGGATATTTATGCAAAATACTTAACTGAATATTAACCATCAGACAGTTTTAGCAGTTGATAGTTATTTGTTAAAAAGTTATTAAAAAGTAAAGTAAAAAGATTGAGATTGCTATCTGTAAATATGCAATTTATACAAAATATTCAGTTAAGTATTTTGCATAAATATCCGCAGTCTACACTGCGAAATATTGAACTTAAGATGTCATAAGCCAATTAGAGGATTGCATTAACATCTTAAGACATTATCTAAGATAATCTTAAAATAAAAACGGACTATGAATACCGCCCGTAGTAAATATTATCTAAAGAATCTCCGAATTAATCTGCTGATTATTCAATTGAAACTAACCAATTGCATCTGTAAGCAGAATTGAGTAGAATTGACCAATCACAATTGATACTTATTGACCAATCAATTGGAGATAGTAAAACTGGTCTTACTCTTAAGACTGAATTGAATATGATCTTGAAATATAAATCGCTTGATCAGAAAACTTCAAAAAGATTATCAAAATTATGATATCAGAATTATCATTTTTTTAAAAAAATTATTAGCAATCATATGATTTTGTATTCAAAATCGTCTGAACTCTGATCTTATATTTATTATATCATTTTACAATTCCATTTCATTTAACCAATGGCTGAAATCAACAGAGACAACTAATCAGTACTTAGTAATTCTTTAATATGATTGGTTCTTGCCTTTAGCTCTTCGTTGGATCTAAGTGTAGAAACCAATTGTAATTAAGAAATTAAAGAATTACTAAACACAGATCAGTTTTCTTTGCTGAATGCAGCCAATGATTGTAGCATTTCGAGATCATATTTGAAATGATCTTAAATGTAAAATTAGAATATGAATACTGCTCTATAAACATCGGCTCATTCTTGTACTTAAATTGAATTTTCTTAAAAATCTTAAATCCCCCAATGATTTTTCCATCCCAATGGAACTAATGAAATGTTTATATAATATCATCAAGGTGATCTTGAATATAAGATTTGAATATCAGAATAACTGTTCATGGCTACTAGCAAGTAGCAATGGAGTGATTGAGAGAATTTTCTTATAAGAACTTATTTTTAGTATTTCTTTTCTTATATATGAGTCAGTACGTAAATTGTATCATGTAAGTGTTAATAATTGTACTAATAATCATAATGAGAATAATATAATTTGAATAGGACAAGAGATTACTGTGTATATTTACATTGGCTTGCTGGCATTTTTGTATGACAAAGAACCGGTTAACCTTAAATTAAGCTCTTATAGAATTTAATATTTTTGTGTTATTAAAAAATATTTTTTTATTTTTTAGAATATGGCGTCAGCAAGAGTATTAAATCAAATTCTTCAGAGAAGGCACTTGATTACCCACGTACCAAACACCTCCTATTGTCTTAGTATTGTTCCTAGCATTAAACACAGTGTTTGTTATTCGACGAAGAAATCTGTAACTAAGGTAAACTCCAATGAAACTAATAATCAGGTACAGATTGGCACTGCAAAAGTAGGTAAATTTCACATGATCTGTTATGTATTATTCTCGTATAATGATTATATTCGTCCTATCTCTTTTGTTTAGTTAAAGAAAACTTGAAATCTGCTGGATATCTTGGAGTAATAATAGGTGGCATTGGAGTTACTGCTTTTATGTTCTATGCCCTATTTTCGGAGCTATTTTCCAGCAAAAGTCCATACTCTGTTTACAGTGAAGCTCGTGTTCGTTGTATAGAACATCCAAAGGTCATGGATATTCTTGGAGCACCTGTAAAAGCTTTTGGAGACGAAACTCGACGTGGACGTAGAAGACACATCACGTACGTCCAGATAAAGAATTTTTTTTACATTTTTATGTATAAACTATAGATATACATTTTGTATATGAATCCTGCTGCGATATCGCTGTATTTATTTTTTTCAGTCATACATATTACATTAAAGATGGCGTGAAATATATGAGAATAAGATTTTATGTAAAAGGAACGAGAAGACAGGGGACAGTATATGCAGAAGTGAAAGAGGTAAGGCTTAATGTACAATTGAAAAGACAACAGGTACACTATAGAGGATAAGAAATTTCAATGAAGAATACATAATTTTTGATAGGTTGAAATTTGTTACACTCTGTTACTATTGCCTGTGCTTTTCATTGTGTCTCAGGCTTAAGTTTGCGAGTTTGTAATTGGGAATGATATGTTTACTGATGATATGTTCAATTTTAATTACAGAATGCATCTGGCAATTACGAATATTCATATCTGTATGTTACGGTCAATCATGTTGGAACAATTGTGATAGAGGACAACCAAGATACCGCTAAAACGCAGCAAGATGACAATTCTACAATGGATTTTAACTTCCTATTGAATAATCGTTAAGTGTATGATACAATATATTGATATGTAAATAGCGTTATATTGGGATGTATATGCAATGAAGTTTTATATAAAATGTAATTTTTCTTATTTATATTTCTTGTATATTTTTATCTATATATTTTTTGTATAGATAAAATGACAGAAGAGTGTTAAATGTCAATTAATTATTGCCTCTCAAGCAAGACGTGGAAGCTGATTAAGATTTCTCAAATAAAAGCTGCAGTCATTCAATTCAACCAGGAATATAATGTTTCTTTTTTATGTTATATTTTTCTGATTATGTAATAGTTATTTTCACTATATGGAGTCTGTTTTTCTCGGTTCTTGCGACATTGTTTATTTAGGAGCTTTCATCATTTTGTACTTCTACACTTATTCTAAATTTGACTGAGAGAGTAATAGGAGAAGATTCATAAGTATCCCGGCACGTCCGCCATGGAAACTGAACTGACTTACGAAATTCAGAGAACAAATTCCTGCGTGACGTGTTGCGTAAGAGCTAAAAATATGTATTATCCTCGCTATCATTTACTCACGCTGTTGCGCGCGTCTATATTAGTGTGCCTTTTATCAGACGCTAACTGTTAACTAATACAGGCGCAACTTATATATATATAATCGTTAATTATGTATATCTAATTTTAAGTGTAATAATTTTGCGCGCACATATAATCTCTCATTCTGTAAAAAAGAGGTTCACATTTGGTAGTCGACTACTATGTATTTCAAATGTCCTAATTTAATTTAAATTTTTTCTTAAATTATTTGTTCTTAATTTTAATTTAACTTGACTTAACAAATTTCTTAATTTAAATAAGTAAGAAAAAATAATAGGTCGAGGCTAGTGCGTAATAACATTTTTATATATAAAGTCTACAATAAATACATCTTTCAGTTATATAAACTGCGCTTAGCTTACTGTCGGACTTGAAATGCAATCATTAACTGAAACTGAACTAGTATCACAATTAAATTGATTACTGATTTAATGACAATGTGATTAATGCTCTTTAAAACCTATAAAAGATTTATTACGAAAAATAAAACTAAAAGTTGTAGTCAGAATTTATATATAAAAATATTGGTCCTAAGATCTAAGGTCTCGACCGCGCGTATTAGATTTTTCTTTACTTATTTTCTTTATTCATGTAATAGTGTGATCTAGATTATCTATTATATTGTTATTCTCAATTTAATTTTTTATGATATCACAAGTACAATAAATGATTACATTTCAATAAATATTTCATTTCTCTAATAATATCGATTTTTTATAAAATAAAATTTTCCATATGACCCAATTTTTCTAGATAAAGATTGATATTTACGTATCCTTGTAACGGACTTGTTTTATAAACAACACGGCGGTATAACATAGCAATTTACATAGTAAAAATACGTAGGAGCTGTGCAACGGAGTCATTAACGAGCGCAGCATCCACTTTACTATCTGAAGAGGCGTGTCTAAATATTACTTATTGCATAAAAGGTACTACATTCGTATATCATTACTGTTAAACTGTCTCTCCTAAAAGTTAATCAAAGACTGGCGGGAGATACTGTCGTTTGCTTCGCTGCCAATAGCAGTTGATTTTCGCTGACAGTCGCTCGACAACTCAGCACGGAGTCCGACACGCTTTTAATCATCTCGTACTCACACGCGCTCGGGATGTGCACAGTGATGTGATATCGTGCAAAGTCTCATTTATAAAAGAAAGATATCTTAGATTATTATTCCACAGGTATAGAATTATATTTCGAAATTGTTTTAAAAAGAAGTTTTATAATTACAGGAAAATTAAAATATTAATATGTATATGTTAATGGCCAAATTTATAGTGTATATTAAAAAAAATTAACATATATATTTTGTTAATAAATATAAAACATTTTATGTACTCATTTTTAATAATAAGCTATTACAAAAATATGACTTACGATAAAAAATTTTCTAATTTATTTTTAAGTAATAAAAACCTGAATAACACACCAGATAAAAATTTACACAAAATTTATTAAAAGAGATAAGTAACGTTATTAATTTATTATATATATATATATATGTTTTAATTAGGATAGAATATAATTAAAGTTATGCAGTAGAGATTGTTAGAGTAATAAAATAAAATATTGCGTGATAAAGATATCTTTAATTCATAAATTTTGTACTACTTTGTAAATTTCTTTAAGATATTTTAAAGATATCTTTAAAACTTTACATTTTATCATTAATTCATTTAATTTCTTGAAAATGTAGTACTATTTATAAGATAGATATTTTGCAGTGTATATTGAATAAATTGTCGATTATGTGGTTAATAAGTTCTTTATTCAAAGAGTTTTTCATTAATTTATATGCACGTTCGCTCATATTCCCGTTCGTTCCTGATTAAAAAAATACTCAATGACCAATTTACAATTAATCGCATCAAGAGTCACATTTTCTTCGATTCATTCGATTATATATTCGAACCAAAAGATATTTAGCTAAACTTAAAAATAATAAAAGTATCTTACTCTATAAAAGAGTAAAATAAGTCTAGCATGATGCAGTGAAACTATTTATTAAATAACAAAAAGATTTTACATGTCATAAATAGTTCCAGACGTTTCGGCTCATTTTAGATACTTTTGTAATTTGTGATTCATTGAGTCTTTGATTTTATATATATATATATATATATATATATAAACTTTGATAATTTTTTAAAATAATAACTATTCACACAATAATTATACTATTTAATTATTTCTAAGTTTACAAATTATAAAACTGTTTAATTGTTTTTAGAATTTCATGCCTGGTGGATGCGGAATCTTCATAACTGCCACTCAAACGAAGCTTATAATAAGATTTAGAAAATAATGAAAATTGAAATTAATGAACATTTTATTAAATATGATTCATAAAACGTGGATTTATGATTGACGAACAGTATTGAGGAACTTTTATTGGAAATAGCGTTTGTGTTCGCGACTAATTATGAAAAAAAGGTGTTGCTCGTGCTCGTGCCTCTCCGGATTTAGAGCCGTGTTCAGGCCCCAACAAATCGGGCCACGACCACCCTCTACTGCCCTCGGTAAGTTAATTCTATTCTTTAATTCCTAATCAATCCGAGAATCAATAATGATAATCGAACATTACATAAACATTCTGGTACTTCAAAAAATATTTAAGATGTTGCACTGAAAAAAACTTACTAAATTTTAATAAATATTTGTGTAAATAGTATTATACTAATTAACATTTACAGTAAACATTTACAGTAATGCAATGAATAAATATTTACTACAAAAATGATACATTTGATTAAATCAAATTAAAGTTTCTTGTATCAAATAAATATACGTTTACATTTAATAAATATTTAATTAGTACTGTTCAAATAAATATTTATTAAAATTTATTACATTGTTTTTCAGTATATTTCGTATTAATATTAATGCCATAACATTATTATATATTTGTATAGAGTGTAGGAAAAAATCCTAATTATAATGCTATTATTAATGCTGATTAAAAAGTTCAGGAAGAAAGAGTAACTTTTCGAATAGATTACGTCCTTAATGTTTTCCCGGGGCGAGCTAAATATTCTTGCGGGATTACGATTATCTACATATCTACCGAAAGTTTGGACTGCATTAAGAAAAAGGAGCTAAAAAATTATAAGAGAGATAAGAATATTATTTCCCTTTCGTTCCGAACAGCTATGCGTGTTCGCTTCTAATACGTGAGTCAATAAATTTTTACGGATCCCTCTTCGATTTCTCGTCTCACATTACCGAGAAGTGACGGACGATATATTTATGGATATCAAAAGTGAAGTAATTACACATCTATTATTAGCACGATGTCTGTAATTATTGAAAGCCATATATAATTATTTACCCGATTGCTTTAATCGGCCCTATATACGTAACTTGTGAGAATCGGAATACAAAAGTGACTACTTCTATTATATACAATGATATAATTTTTCTTTTATTTTCATTTTATTCTTTTATAATTTTTTTCTATTGTATAGGATATTTATTTTTTCCTTTTTATTTTATTTTTATTTTTTTGCATTCGCTTTTTCATTTTTTTAAATATTAATTTAGTTTCAAAATGTTGTATAATATATTGAAAATTATGTACATAATTCCAACTTGAAAAAATGCTATCCTAGAAAGCATAATAAATAGTAATATTTGTCTAAATTTATCTATTTGTTGAGAAACCGCAAGATAAAAAAAAATAATATAAAAATTCAGTATTTCCGTGAAAACACGACATTATTTTCTTTAATCAACAATTGAATTTGTCAGGCCGAATGAATTTTTTGTTGTGTCTTACTCGAGCAAATGTAATATCGCTCTGCAAAATTCACGATCGAATGAATCTCGATAACAAGATGTATCTCGAGTCTGCTGACACCACGTAGTCAATTGACCTCTCTGAGAGCAGAGTTCGGTGTGCGCGGGCGAGGTGAAAAATAATTAATAAAACAAATAAAATAGCCGAACGTCGGCGATGTATGAATCACGCGAGCGTAAAATAATGCGACCTGTATTGTACGCCTAATAAGTAGATCATTATAAACAGAAGCACGTGCGAGAGGTGCCCCTCCGAGGTGCAGATAATACAGTGATGCGCATCGTTTGGAGTTGTAAATTTTTCACATAAATGAATGATGCGAATTATCGCGAAGCTTTTTAACACCGGATTTCTTCAATTCTACGATTTTACAATGTCCAAAAATCTTACTTGTTACAATTATTTTAAATTGTTAGTTATGAATAATTCTCATTAATTTAGATTATTATAATTATGTACATTTTATTATTTATTAGATAATTTCTAAAGTTATATATATCTTTTGTTTTCTTCATATAAACACGCTAAATGTCAAGATAATCATTTATTTTTTCACAAACACGGGATAAAAGGATTAGTCAGAACGTCAATCAATCAAATTAAGCATGTTTTTAGATTTACTAGAATATGTTGTAAAAAAAACTTGAATACATCAGTAAAGAGTTGAACAACCGAATCATGTTATATCGATCTTAACATTGCAGTCAAGAAGCAAAGTACTCTTCCGGTATATCCTAAAACCTATTTTCAGAATATTGGTCAGGGACGATGTATATTGCTATGCTTATAAGTTTTACGTACCGTAAAAACGTGTGTTTAATCAACGATTTTGGATGCGATAAAAATTACAAGTAACAGTTGACGCTAGTTTATATGTAACGTATGATGTCATCATTCAAGAAGAAAAATATCACAAGATAATTTGATACGTAGGCGATGATTTTATTATCGCGAATTACAGGAATTGAACGATTGAGATGAGTGATCAAATAATTGACATAACATAAAAATGTTTATTATCGTCTGTTCGAGTCAAGTATCATTGATTATATAGTCTATTAATATTAATTCTTAATTCGTCGGAAAATATAAAATTAAAAAAGTTAAAAATATATGTATATTCATATTTATATTCAAATTTTTCAGTATTTTTACTATCTACAAATTTTCGTTTTTGCTTGAGTTAGAAAAATATTTTGCTCTCTCCAATAATTCAAGAAAATTTTC